CTGGTTCTATCCCGTGATGATCTTGTGGAACGTAGAGGAATGAGCGGAGCAGAAGCGAGGACACACACAGATCACTCCATTCAAGATCTAGAAGCCTTGTAAGCATAAGCTCATAGCTTGTTGTGCCTCGCCAAACTCTTGTTGAATAACGTTTTTCCCACAGACAGGACATCATTTCGTAACTACCAGATCCTCAGAAAGCCAGTTCTTCATGTCGGACTTCTATAGCTCAGATGCCATGCCTCCCTCATATATCAACAACCTGTCAGATGACCTTCTCGTTAAGATCTTCTGGCATTCCCTGAAGAATGTCCCCGCTCGCCGCCAATCCGAAAGCACTATCCGTTCATTGTATTCCGTCTGAGGTACACCTCCGAAAACCCGTACGGCGAATATCTCAACTCCTCCGGCGAAAGCATTCTGGAACCTTCCTCCCTGCAGCGGAACGTCGAGTATACTACTTTTAGTTATTCTCCATTGTCAGCTCCTACCGTGCGTACTGATCCGGCATATAACCTTCTCATCGCTTCCGTTTGCACGCGCTGGCGTCGCCTAGCTCGCCGTGAGGTCTCAAATCTCGTCGTGAAGAAAAATGTCGCCGTATCGCTCCAAGATCTTGCCGCTGCCGTCAAGTGCTTCCCGAACCTTTCCCATGTACATCTCAGCGACAACAGTGTAGAGACCATCGACGACGCGTTTTTCGATTTCCTAGCTTCCTCATGCCCTAATCTGGTGTCGCTGCACGTAGGAAGGGAGATCACGTCAGAATCGGACTGGAGCCGGCCGAAAGAGCATCCGGTGACGGAAACCGGTTTAAACCGATTCATCCGTCGCTGCACTCAGCTGCAGCACATCTCGCTCTACTGTTTGCATTATGACGAGAAGCTGCCAAATTCTCTCTCACTCCTCACCAACCTTCACACCCTCGCTCTCACCGATAGCTCGCCCCTCCATTCTCCGAAATTCACAAACCTGACCTCTCTCACCGCGCTCTCCGTCAGTATTTCCGATAAGGAGTACCTGAATCTCGCGAGCCTCACGCATCTCCCAGCCATCACCACCCTCGTTTTATTCGACCAGACATGTCTCGATCTAGAAGGCGGCGGCGACATTTACCCCTTTTCATATTTCGCTCGAATGCCGCCGCTGAAAGCCCTGGAGTTCTACACGTGTAGTCCGCCGTTCGAGCTGATGTTCCCGTCAGGAATGACGTTCAGCCGTCTCGAGCGACTGCATATCAGTGACTGCGATCAGCTTGAGGAACTTCCTGACGACATCGGCGAGCGACTGCCCCGGCTTCGCGATCTGAGCTTGTGCGGATGCATAAATTTTACGGAGCTGCCCGAACGGTTTACTGCCCTAAGCTGCCTGGAGCAGCTGACGATTTCCACGTGCGAGGTGGACAGTTTGTGCGAAGACTTCGGAAGTCTGCCCGCTTTGAAAACGCTGACGTTTAGCTCCGTGCCTCTCTGTAATCTTCCAGATTCATTCAACCAGCTGACATCCCTAGAAACCCTTTGTCTATCCTACTGCAACGGACTCTTCGATCTGCCTGAAAAAATCGGTTTTCTCACCGCTCTCAAATCCTTGAGTATCCTCAACACGTCGGTTCTGACGCTTCCAAACGACATAAGCTCCCTCACCAATCTCCACACCTTTTGTCTGACAGGGAATCAGACGCAGAAGCTGCTTCCATCCTCCTTCACTCAGCTTTCTTCCCTCACAAGGCTCGAGGTCATCAACTGTGGGGTGCTAGTCGGACTTCCAAAAAACCTGGGGAAGCTGAGTAACCTGCGGGAATTGACCATCCAGGCCTGCCCTAAGATCAAGAAGCTTCCAGAATCCGTCACTGACCTTGTCAACCTAGAGACTCTAAAAGTTGTCGACTGCTGCAGCCTTACTTCAATCCCCACCACCTTGGCCAACCTTACAAGACTAAAAGCCTTGGCACTAGCCAAGCTACCCGAGTTAGCACAAGTATCTACATCCTTCCCCTGTTTCCCCTGTTTCCTCGAGTTTCTTTCGCTAGGAAGCTTCAAGCGGCCCATCCCTTCTCTGGAAATTCCAGAACTGTCAAATCTGAGAGAATTGGTCCTAACTGGTGTAGGGCTTACGGGTGGACTGGCCTCTGGTCTGACTCTGCCTTCTCTGGAACTCTTACAGCTGGTGCTGATCGGAGAGGCAGAGAGATTCCCCTTGCCTCTGGAACTCCTTTCTAATCTCCGCAGCTTGATCATCTGCAGTGCCGCCGCTCGCATGAAGAAGCTTCTGGAAGGGTTTGGTTTGGCCTTGTGGCGGCTGAGGCGGCTGGAGATTCAACGGGCTGAAGAGTTAACAGAGCTGCCAGAGAGTTTCACCGAGCTTCAGTCACTGACATCCGTTGAAATGCATGCACCCAAGCTGTCCCACCTTCCAGAGGGCATCGGGGCGATATCCCGACTTCGTCAGCTGAATTTGGCCAAGTGCTCATCACTTACCCAGCTCCCTGCTTCTCTCACCGAGCTCTCGTGTCTTCATGAGCTGAACCTCAGCTGCACCCCCATACGCTCCCTGCCATGCCAATTTGGACAGCTGAGCCGGCTTAAGAAACTTAACCTGGATGGCTGCAAAAAGTTGGCTGCTCTGCCAGAGGATTTTACCCAGCTCAAGATGCTACACAGCTTGAGTATTAAAGGGTGTGGCGAGATTGTATCTAAAGGTGTGAGGGGTATCTAACGGCTGGAGATTCCTACTGATTTTGATCAGGATCCTTTGGAGGGTCTTTGATTTTTTTTTCCCCATCTGAAAAACAGACCTAGTTTTATAGTTCTGTCTGATCTGAATACCGTATTGTTTCTTCTATGGCGGTACTATGTTTTTTTAGGCGAAGTTTACATGGCTGTTGTTTTTTATATCTGCGATTGGGTAATGCAATTAACGCTTTTGAATATTGGAAGTCTTTCTGGTACGAAAAAATATACCGTAGCAATGTTGAATCTAAGTGTTTTTACTGCAAGTGTAAAAGATATTGCAAACACTAACACTTGTAGTTGTCCCTGGTGTAAGGTGGAATCCTGATTAGCTCGTGCAGCTACACTTTTAACACCCCTATGGAAGTCGTTTGTCCAAAGTTGATGTGAAGACACGAACTTGCTTGGAAGTGAGACATCCACCACGATGACGTGCTCAGCTCACCACCAAGCGGAACGTGCGAGTTGCCACAAACCTGGCGGCAACGACGAATCCCGCCAAGGTTTCAGCCTGGTTGTCAGTCGTGTGCCGCGTTGGCGACGGATCTGGTAGTGGCGACAGCGACGAATACTGCGCCGCAGCGACATCCAGCAGCAAAGTAGCGACGGAGTTGCGAACGGAATCCGTCTTCTGTCAAAAGCATCTTCAAACCAAACAATACCCCATTTCACCCTTCGCAACAATGGGTACCATTGTGCCTATATCGAAAGTCACAAATGAATTCTTGGAATTTCAGACGTTATGAAACCCTCTGGCAAACTCAACTGCCGTTTCCCAGGCTCACTGCTTCTTCCTGCTCGCTCTCCCTCCTCCCCCACTTCTGTTTCTGGTCAGCTTTCTTCCTACTCGTGCTTCTGTTTGTGCACTGTTCCTCTTCAGGTTGCTCCTGCGCTTGCTTTGAATGGGATGGGGGATGGATGTCCCTCATCATGCAGCAGGCCCCTGAAGAGACATGTTGTCATTGACCTTAGAAACCAGATTGTAACTCAAGCACCGTTTCAAAACCAGACCGCTTAGCGCGTGTCTTGATTTTTAATTCGTTCATTCGTGTCGTGCTCCCTTACGTGGTCTTGCTGCTGACGTGACCTGTTCGTTCCAAATGGCTGAGCAGGCAGTGCCAAGTGGATGTAAGACTGGGGGGAAGAATAGCACGGAGCGCGTTAGGGTTACGGTCTGGTGGCCAGTCCAGGTGCCGTTGGAAGGCGAGCGACAGCGGTTACTAGGATGGATCGAGTCAGCCGACGTTGGCGAAACTCGCGAAGTCAATGTCATCGTCGCAGCTGCCACTCCACCATGCTCGGGTCGCATCGACGAACCTAAAAAAGACATCGACCCGTGCAACGGTCACAAGGAGTCATTCCCCATTTCCCAGGATAGCCACAAAGCTCCTGTAACATTTCCAAATGTCAACTCCAGTGCGCCTTCAGCCGCGGCTTTGCCTATTAACGGCTATGAAAACAGTCAGAAACACAATCTTTTTCCCGTTGATTGCTATCAGGAGAGTTCTTTCGAGGAGCCTGACCGAGCCTGTGTCGTCGCTGAATGTTCCGTTCTTCCAGAACATTCCAATCTCTCCTTCTCGTCTTTCTTCAGCCGGTTCTCCTCCGGAGCAAGCTCGCCTAAAGCTTCAAGCTGCTCGTCGCCTCGCTCGTCCTGGAGTTTCTCTGCTGATTCCGATCGTTCCGAAGACTTCGAGTCGTTGAATAACGACAAGAATGAGACTGTGCGAGACCCGAATCAAGATAGCCAGGGTAATAGATCGGGTTTTTCGTCGAAGGTGCCGTTTACCTTGTTATGGCGACGTAGATGGCAGCAGCAACGACAGTCGCCAGCGTCGCCAACGCCGCCGTCAGGCTCCTCTGGACCCGGAGAGTCGCAGGATTCGGGATCGGGTCCGTCCGTACGCGGTAAAGGAGCTGCGATACTAGACTGGTGGCGAAACGTGGAGCTGATAGGAATGCGTATGAACGTTGATGGGTCCAGCAACAGCTCGGAAGACGAAACTTCGAAGCAACCCGGTGGTATTAGGTATGCCTGTCGTTTTTTTAATTCGGGAACCTTAACCGTGCCTCAACATGGCGATGCGAACTTTTTAAGAACCTCCGCTCCTTATCCTCTCTCTCTTTCTTGCCGGGGTATGCAGCCAGCTTATCTTCCTTATACACCTCTCCGCGACAAGCCCTGCATTTTCCCTACCATCAGGATGTCTCTCTTAAAAAACATACAGCTAACGCTGCATGCTTTCTCCTCCTGTTTGCAGCGGCAGCGGAATGCCAGGCGTTGCTTCCGAGAAACCCGCCGGCGCAGCTGCGGAGACAGCAAGTGAAGGCGGTCAGTCGGATCGAGGATCGAAACCGGTACCAGAAGCGGCCGCAGGGGAGCCGGCCGACATGGCATCTGCCGGCCATCCGGTTTCCGCTCAGGTGCGCGCAGTGTCCCGCTCAGGTGCGCGCACTGTCCTGCTCTGGTGCGCGCAGTGTTCCGCTCTGGTGCGCGCAGTGTCGCTCAGGTGCGCGCAGTGTACCGCTTAGGTGCGCTGCAGCACAGATGCGCGGAATGTTCGCTCAGGTGCGCGCTGCTCAGTTGCGCGCGTGTCCGTCAGGGGCGCGCCGTGTATTCGCGTAGACCAGCCGACCCTCCCCGCCATTGTCATTTCCGATTTTCACGACGAACCACCCACACCTTTGTTTCTCTCCTCCCTCATTCCACTCCCTTCCGCAGGTCGTTTTTTACGATCAGCCGACCTTCCCCGGCCATTTCTACGTGGCGGATTGTCGCAGGTGGATGAGTGTGGTGCGCGGAGGAGTAGAGGACGGTTCAGATGGGTCGGAAGGCTTAGACGAGGAAGGCCTTGGAGGTCCGGGTACCACGGGATCGGACAAGAACCCAGCGAACGCAGCGAGCGCGGCGAATGCAGCGAATGGTGCGGTTACCACGTCGCCGAGTGGTTCGCCGGGCGAGGCGGGGCGGGTGGGTGTGTGGCTGCGGTCGTTCTGGGCCACGTCGGGGCACATCGAACCCCCCAGGACGCAGAGAGCCAAGTCCCGCGGATACGTGAGTGGCGGGGCCTTTGAGGGACTTGGGGGGACGAGGGGGGCTGGAGAAACGAAAAGGAAAGAAAAGAAAAGAAAAGACAAAGAAAAGAAAGATCTTCCTTTGGGACGCCCATGCGCGTCCGCGACTTCCTCCACATCCCTTTGCACTGGCTTCAACCGCCCTACGTCCGAGTTGACTCACAGCCCTGTATTCTCTTGTTCACCCCCCCTGCCCCTTCCCCCTCCCACAGAGCGTTCCCTTCCACAAGCTCAACATGGCCCACGCCCTCGCTACTGCCTCTACATCCCTTGCAACCGCTTCAAACACCCTCGGATCCGCCACCACCTCTATAGGAACGTCTATCACCACTGCTACCAGCACCATCAGCACCACTACCTCTCGCACTCTGGATAGCTGCAGACGTGGCGCTACCGCAACGGCCTCTGCTGCCGCTGCTACAGCCGCTACAGCCGCGAATGCTGCTGCTGCTGCCACAGCTGCCACGGCTGCTACCGCAGCCACTGCAGCCAGTGCAGCGGCTGCTGCAACAGCCGCCACTGCTGCCACTGCAGCAACAGCAGCTACAGCCGCTGCTGCCGCTACAGCAGCGACCGCTGCTGCTACAGCTGCGACGGCGGCAACAGCAGCGTCGGCAGCGGCTGCGGCAACGGCAGCGACGGCTGCTACAGCTGCAAGCGCGGCGGCGGCTGCTGGAGGGTCGATTCCAGGCGCTATTAGGGGTTCCCCTGCTGTGATTTCCACTGCCCTTGCTGTGAGTGGAGTGCGGTTTAAGGGTTGGGAAGAATGCGAGTTATTAGTATGTTCAAGAGGTGCTGGGGGGTGATTTTTATAGGTTTTCTTAGGGGGTTGCCTGCTGTCATTTTTACTCCTCTCTTTGTTGCCACTCCGTTTCCCTCTCCCCTCATTCTCACTCTCTCCCTTCTTCTCTCACCCTCTCCCCTTCTCTCTTAATCCTCCACCCCCCCTGCAGCGTATGTTTTTCCTCGGGAAAGCAACACCCAAGCCCAGCAAGGACGCAGACCCTGGTGCAAGCACAGAATTTGTAGCAGCAACGGAACCCCCCAGCCTTATTCTCGACAGCTCGCCTATCGACGTCAACTCAGCTTTCGACATGAAGTCAGCTATTGGAACTGGCGAAACAGCAGGAGAGAGCTTGCAAGGCATGAGCACGCGCGACATCCCTGAAAAGGCACCAGCCCAATCAGGGGCGTCACAGGGGGAGATGAGTCAAGGAGGGTTGGGCCAGGGGAAGGCAGAACCGGGGCAGGTCGGAACTGGTTCAGATTCACTGCACCAGCAGCTTCTGGGGACGACTTTGCAGGAGAGTGTGAAGCAGGCCGAGACATTGGAGGGTTTGGGAGGGCCAGATGCAAGTGTAGTGACTGCTGAGCCTGTTAAAGAGAGGGATGCGTTATGGGGGACAGTGTTGGGGGTCAAGGGTGGAGATTCCAAGCAGGAGGTGATTGTACAGGGGGAGATTGTAGAGGAGGGAGAGGATCCCGCAGCTTTGGATTCTGTGGGACACGTTGGGCGGCTGAGTCTGGCTGTAGCGAACCAAATTGCTGCTGCGCCCGTGGCGCTGCTACTGCTGTTGCACGAAGCCGGGGTGGTTACCGTCTCGCTGGTTACTTCTACCGGCCGTGCGGCGACCACTGCTCTGAAGAGCAACTCTGCCACGTGGCAGTGCATGATTCGCAGGCAGCGGCTGATCGTGTCGCTCCGTGCTGCCCTCCAGTCAGCGTCCTGTTTTTCAAACGAGGGTGTGTTTGCTGAAGGGCATGTTTTGGTGTCAGATGGCCACGTGTCAGCAGCAGCAGGAAAAGCAGCAGCAGAGGACAAAACAGCAGCAGCTGCTGCTGCAGAAGTGTCATGTCCTGCTGCTGCCCCTGCCACAGCCACTTATAATGATCCCCTTGTTCCGTCCACTCAAGGCGCCTCCTTAAAAGCATCCCTATCCTCAGCCTCGGACCCTCCCGAAACGTCTCTCAATCAGGACCCCTGCATTCCCACAGACCCTGCAAAACCGACTCACTTCTCTTCTGAAATTCCCAAATCCGCCCGAAACGCATCCAGGAAACCCAAGCTTCCCCTTCATTCCTCCATGGACCTCCACATCGCGCAGCACCGCATTGCATCCCCTCTCACCTCCCTCTTACTGGACCATACCCTTGGGCTCCTCTTCTCCCTCCTCCTCCTCTTCTTCTTCCAATCGGTGGCATCAGCTATCTCTTCCCTTTTCCACGTCCTGACCAATCACGTGCTCCGGACCAGCATCGTGCTACTAATCTCCCAGCCCATTGGACTTAAACTTAACGACGAGCTCACCGCTGCGTTCGGCGCCCTATCCTGGCAGGCGCTGCAGGCTTGGGCTAGCTTCGGCGGCGCGTACGGCTCGGTGCTGCCGTACCTGGCGGTCCTGACGGTTGGTTCGGCAGGGCTGTTCCTGGGGATGTCGGCCGCAGTGGGGGTTATAGCTGACCTAGTGCTGCTGTCAAACCTCCAGCTGGCGCTCGTTCATTGGTGCCTGGCGCCCATGTATCGCATGCAGCTCAACGCTGTCATTGCTCTCTGGCGCCTCTTCAAGTGAGTTCTATCACACCAACTTTTGAGATGTCTCAAAAGTCAAGTGAGCTCTATTTAACTTGGGCTATACATGCCAGAGGGAGGGGAGGGGAGAGGCGGGCGTTTAAGAGGGGAAGAGGTGAAGGGGAATGGTTCATAAGTTCTTGGCACACATGTATCGCATGCAGCGGAACGCTTTCACTGTTTGGCTCCCTTGGCTCTCCTCTGCTCCCTCATGCTTCCCCCCCCTCCCCCCCTCTCTCCTCCTCCCCTCCCCAGTGGGCTCAAGTGGAACCCTCTGCACAGGCGGATTGACTCTTCTTCTTGCCCTGCCTTGCCTTTCCTTTCCTTCCTTTCCTTCCCAACCCCCACAGTGGGCTCAAGTGGAACCCACTGCACAAGCGCATAGACTCAGTGGAGTGCACTCTCGGGCAACTTACTCTCGGGTCTCTCCTCTTCACCATCCTCACCCTCCTCCTCCCCACCACCGCCATTTTCCACATCCTCTTCGCCTCCCTCTGCCTCGCAATCTCGACCGTCCGTTCTGCCCTGCAAGCCGCTGCCTCGCTGCTGCTCTCCTTCCCGCTTTACCTGCTCCTGGTGAGGCTCTATCGGCCTGACCAGGTTCCCGGTGGGGTGTGGCTGGAGTTTGTGGGAGGGGGAGGAAGAGGAGGTGGAGCAGGAAGGAGAGTGGGTGGAGGGGTAACAGAAGGTAGAGGAGCAGTGGGGGGGAGGACAGGAGCGGGAGGGGAGGATAAAGGAGGGAGGCGAAGGCATGGGGCAGACGGGGGACCGGCTCGAGAACACTCGAAGATCGATCGGGGGTGTGAGATAAGAGATAGTGGGAGACAGGAAGGGAGGGAGGAATCAGAGTTGCCATGGGGAGGTGGCGAGAGAGAAAGGGGTGGGGCATCATGTGGTAGTGAAGACTGGTGTAGTGGCGGGTGTGGGCCTGCTAGAAATGATTGTGGCGGTAGCAGCAACGGCAGCAGCGGTATCCGCGACGGGAGTGGAGGAGCATCAATTCCAGGGAGCGACACAACTGCTGCGCCCCCGCGCAACGGATTGGGAAGCAGCACTTGTGGCAGATGTGCGAGGCAAAGGGATGGCGCAAGCAGCACTAGCAACAGGGGCAACTCAAACAGCAGCAGCTGTGGCAACGGCAGCAGCTCCAATGGCAGCAGTAACGGTGGGAGCACTAACAGCAGCGGCAGCTGCAGCAGCGGCGGCAGAAGCGGCAGCAGCAGTGGCAGCAGCGGTAGCAGCAGCGGCAGCAGTGGCAGCGCATTCAGAGTGTTCAGTGTGGAAGGGAGCCCACACCTTTTCCTCCATTCCTTCCCTGTATCGTTCTGGGACGTGTTGAGCCGAGTGCATGTGAATCCTCGCAAGGTGAAACCCAAGGCGTAGAGCACAGATTATGGTGCCATGTAGCAGTGTAACGTATTTTAGAATTGTAATAGTTGCCATGCCAACATTTATGCAGCTGTTTGGATGGAGGATAGAAATGTGTGATGCACGGTATTTGTTTATTCAGTATTTTTATCTGGTTGTGCGAGAAATCCAACAGAGCACACGGAACAAATCCAACAGTTGCAATGCAAAGCTGTGTCTAATTAATGCAGTACTCGCATGAAGTTGCTCGCATAGAGTTGCATACTAAGAGGTGATGCGACAATACGGTAATGGGTGAATAAAAGCTAACGGGTGTATTCCCATAGACATGATTGTACCGTCATCGCCCGGATATAAGACATATATGTCTTATCTCATACACTAAAAAAAATGCTTGGGTTATTGTAAGGAAAATTCCTTTTCGCGTCCCCGTTCAGCGCGTACCCCACTGTAGCACCACAGTCAGCACCACAGTCAGCACCGTTACCGCTCGCAACCCTCGCATCGACAATCCTCCCGCCACCTTCGCACGTCGCACCCCGACCTTACGGCTCGGCGGGTAACTCGCGCTCCGGACCTCCGCTTCGACATTTCCCCAAACCTCAGTCCCAGGCCCGTCGTGCGACAACCACAGTCCATTACCGTTACCACGGTAGTTTCGCTATATATTCTTCGCTCATGCCTTCGCTCATTGTACTCTTGCTTCGATAATGCAATTCTCGCTCGATCACTCAATTGCACTCGTAAAACTTGGTATCATAGCCTACGATCTCTTCTCGGACCGCACCCACACCTTCGCTTCCTCACTATCTCAATTTTCGGGGGGGGGGGGTAGACGTCTCTCAGCGACACAGCACCGCTGCTCTTAGTGCTCTCTCGTAAGCACGCACGGCCACGACAGAGGCTCTCGCTGAGATTGCCCGACACCCCCGCCATGGCCGAATTGACGCTCGCGACATTGATGCAGGAGCAACTTGACCGTCTGGTGCGCCAAGTTGAAGAACCGGCGCTCGAAATTGCGACGCTCACGGCGGAACGTGACTCCGCGCGTCAGCAATCCACGGTGAATACTCCAGCGCCACCACACGCACCGACAAATGCACCTGCACAATCGGACGAGCCAGTCGTCATTTCATCCGGCACACCAACACAACACGACAGCGTGGGACAGCGCTCAGGTGCAGCCAGTGATGGCGCCGCCCAACCGATGCCTGGCATGGGGGGAAACAGGGTCGCACCAAGCCCGCGGGAGCCTCGCGAAGCCCGTCGGCACGTGGAGTTCGCGGCGATAAGTGGCGAACAGGCCATTATGGCACCAATGCCACTCAAGCCACAACGCCCGCCCTGCTTCGACCCGAGCCAGCGTGGAGGTCCGACGGTTCAATCGTGGGTCTTCACGATGAACGTCTTCTTCGACGCGAATTACGTCGAGTCGGACGCAGCGAAGATCCGATATGCCGTCTCGCTCCTGAGGGGCCCCGCCATGGACTGGTGGCGAGTCATCGTGACGTCGCCACGCGCCTACGAGCCACAGTCGCAAGAGGAAGGGCCCACGGGTCCAGCCGTCACCTGGAGTTCATTTTGCGAAACCGCCCAGTACAGCACGTGGGATGCGTGGTGCGCAGGGCTTCGGGCGCGCTTCGAGCCGATCGCGGCTTCTATTTCGGCGCGTCAGAGACTGCGTACTTGGCGGCAACTCGGGTAGGTTCAAGACTACACGAGCGGTTTTCTCGCATTATGCGAGCAAGTCGGCTACATGCACGAGGCGGAGCGGGTGGACCGTTATGTTGGAGGACTGAAGCCAGACATTTCGCACGAGATCATGCTACGCGGGCTCTCGAACTTCAACGAGATTCTCGCGCTCGCCGAGAAAATCGACATTTTGCGCCGTCCGAGACCGGGGTCCTACTACGGACATCGTCCTCGGGGACCGATCGAGCACGCCACCATACATGCCGTTGCGACAAATGCAGCTGCCGCGCCGTTTAAGGGGCGCTGCTTTGCTTGCAATAGGCCGGGCCATCGCAAGAGTGAATGGCCAGAGGAGCTGAGGCGCCGCGGAGCAGAGCAGGGGAGGGAGTCTCCAAGGCAGGGAAACGCCAGCAGTCAGTAGGAATCGGGCCAACTACTGACGAGACTGCTTGATCGCCCAACCCCCCGAACCTCACCGAGTCACGATACCGATTCATGCTATCGATCGGGCTCAGACGAATAAGGAGGGTACAGCGACGGATTGCCCAGTACTAATCCACGGAAAAATACAGGGAGCAGCAGTGAAGATTTTTATCGACGGAGGAGCAAGTCACAGTTTAGTTAATACCGCAACCGCACGAAAACTGCAACTGACACTTAGCCGTTGTTTACCCGAGATATATGCACGCTTAGTAGACGGCACGCCACTGGCCATACGGGAAAGGGTGGAGAGAGTCAAAGTCCGCTGCGGGGGAAATTTCGGATTTACACAGGAAATGCTCGCGACAACACTGGATGGGCACGACGTTTTACTGGGACGTGATTGGCTGCGACGGTATAACCCGCGAATTGACTGGACGACGGGTAGCTGCACTGTGCGAAATAGCGGTAACTGGGTTGAGCTACCTCGCTGGCAGTCGCCCGAGTCTTCAACGGTACACGTCAACGCCGTCACCATGAAACGGGCTGTCGCTGCTGGAGCTGACGTGTACGCAGTAGACATTGCAGTAGTAGAAGGAGCAGAGCAGCCGAGTGATTTTAAGAAACTGCTGGCAGCGGTACCGCCCGAACTGCAAGAACTGTTGAAACGATACCCCGTGATCTTTCCCGACGACTTACCGGAAGGACTGCCACCTCAGCGAGCACATGACCACCGAATAGAATTAGAACCGGGGGCACAGCCAACGGTACAGCGCCAGTTCAGACTGACAAAACCCGAGCTCGACGAACTGAGGAAGCAGTTAGATTACTTGTTAGAGAAGAAATTCATCCGACAGAGCTCGTCAGCGTTCGCCGCACCGATACTGTTCACGCCAAAAAAAAGACGGAGGGTTTCGCATGTGCATCGATTACCGAGCGCTCAACAGGGTAACAGTCAAGTCGCGGCACCCCATTCCCCGCGCCGACGAACTGATCGACCAACTGCGAACAGCACGGAATTTTTCGAAAATAGATTTACGGGGAGGTTACCATCAGATTAGGGTCGAACCATCGGACTGCGCCAAAACAGCTTTCCGGACTAGGTACGGGTCATTCGAGTACACCGTGATGCCTTTCGGGCTGACCAACGCACCAGCGACATTTCAGATGACCATGAACGAGGTGTTTAGGCCACTTTTAGATAAATGCGTGATAGTTTACCTCGACGACATCCTCGTCTACAGTCGCGACAAGCAGCAGCACTTAGCAGATCTGGAAGCAGTGTTCAAGATTTTAGATGAGCATCGGCTACTGACCAAGGGTTCCAAGTGCGAGTTTTTTCAGCACCGGCTAGAGTTTTTGGGGCACGTTATTTCGGAGGCTGGGGTTGAAATTGACCCAGAGAAATTAGACACGGTGAAAGCCTGGCACCCCTCGACGAATATCACGGAACTACAGAGCTTTTTGGGGTTCGTCAATTACGTGCGTCGGTTCGTCCCCGACATGGCACGGTTAACAGCGCCGCTGACGGACTTGTTACGTAAAGGGGTCGCTTTTACATGGGGGGAGAAAGAGCATGCTGCCTTCTCTGCCCTGAAAAATGTCCTCTGTTCACCGCCCGTCCTGCGCATTGCCGACCCACACCGCCCATTCGAAGTAGTTACCGACGCAAGCGACATCGCCATCGGAGCCGTATAACGGCCTACAACCCATCGCATATGAGTCACAAAAACTGCATCCGCCCGAGAAAAATTACCCGATACACGACCGCGAAATGCTTGCGATCTTGCACGCGTTCAAAGTGTGGCGCTGTTACTTGACCGGCGCAGACGTGACAGTACGGACAGACCATAAATGACTACAGTACCTCCGCGCACAGCCACACCTCAACCCACGACAGATTCGCTGGCTCGATTTTCTCGAGTCCAATTTTCACTGCACGGTCACCTACAAAAAGGGAGCCTCGAACATCGCCGACGCACTGACCCGCCCCACTGCCCAGCTCCATGCAATACTACTCGCCCAGACCAGCCCCCTACTGACAGGCCTATTTACCCACGGGTACCAAACGGATCCATTCTTCACAGGAGGAAATTCGCAGCAGTTCACAGCAGCAAGGGGAGTCTATTACGTAAAAGCCGGGACCGACCGCATCTGGGTGCCCGGGTATACACTGCTACGGGAATTACTGTTACAGGAGGCACACGACGGAGTTACCTCGGGGCATTTCGGAGTAGAAAAAACACGGCAGCAGCTGCAGCGGTATTATTACTGGCCCGAAATGTTGACCGACGTACAACGACACGTGGCATCGTGTCCCACTTGCCAGCTCATGAAATCATCACGGCAGCGGCCGGCAGGACAGTTGCCGCCGATACCACCCCCAGAGCGTGCGTGGCAGCAGGTGACGATGGACTTCGTCACAGGGTTACCGACCGGGGCGAGTGGGAACGACGCGATCCTGGTTGTCGTCGATCGACTGACGAAAATGGCACACTTCGCAGCCTGCAAAAAATCAATCACAGCCGAAGAAACAGCACGCCTCTTCATCTCCACCGTCGTTCGACTGCACGGGATACCAGCAGCGATAATCAGCGACCGCGACACGAAATTCACCAGCAACTTCTGGCGGAACCTGTGGCAGCAGTTCGGCACGCGACTACAGTTCAGTTCTTCGTACCACCCCGAAACCGACGGACAGACAGAACGGACAAATCAGAGTATGGAGCAACTCATCCGAGCCACGTGCGACGACCCAACCACCTGGGAACAACAGCTGCCACTCATTGAGTTCGCATACAACAACTCACCATCCGCCACGACCCAACAGTCACCGTTTTACCTGAACTACGGACAAGACCTGATAGTACCCATGACCCCGAATCCCGACAACCCGGTGCCAC